AAAATAGTTTATGGGCACCCTACATCCCTTATCTTCCCCGAATCCATGGCGATGGATGCACTGCGAGCTAAGGAAGTTCCAGACCCTCGTGATTCGCGGCGTCGAACAATTGCTCCGGTTCAGGTCATGGTGATGAAGACGAAGGACGAAACGACGTCGCACTCTGAAATCGTACTACTTGGATCTGGTCATGGTGATGAAAACGAAGGACGAAACAACGTCGCCGTTCTTCACGACGTTGTTGGAGTACATCGAGAGCTCGAAGAAGAGCTAGGATTTCGAGATCCTGTCGGGTCAGCTGACGACGGTGTCGGTGGTGACCAGTAAGGGTGAGTGCAAAGAAGGTGGGGAGAATGAGGGAGGGGGTTGGTAGGGGTGATTGCAGATGAGGGGAATGAATGGGTGTGCGGGGAAGAGAATGGAGGGAGAATAAGGGAGAAAGATGAAGAGGGTCGGGAGGGAGGGGAAGGATGGATGTGCAGAGGTTGGGTAGATGCAAAAAAGAGAAGGGAAGGAAAAGGGAGGGGGGTCGGGGTAGGGAAGAAGATAAGGTTCTGGGGTTTTTTTTAATATTTAATTGATTATTTAAATATTTTTAATGACACATGGCACCCAGTCATTGTTCACATGGGTGCCACGTTATCACTTAACGGGAGAATTAACAGTTTGACTGACGGATCTATGAGATTGTTCCAAAATTAACATTTTAGGTATGACTTTGGGACGAAAAAAACTTCATATACTAAATGTTAAAAACCACGAAACTTCAGGGCAGTAAATAGAGTTTAACCTTATTATTAAAGTACAAATGGTATGTAATTTCTAAGAAGTTTTAAATTTTGCAACTGATACTTAAGGAGGGAATAATCAAATCTAGAACGTGGTTTAGAGGTTAATCTTCTTAACTATCTAAACAACAAAACTCTTGTGTTTATTAAGGGGGTTGTTTTTAATTAGGAGTTTAAATTTTTTTAAAGAGTTTAAAAATTCAAGGGTATAAATTTTAAAGGAGTTCATAAAACTCTATAGAAATCTGGATGTATTCAATCATGATTTTAAAGTAGTCCATAAATGTCACATTCCGGCCCGACCCCCACCACATCCTGGGCTCGACTACATTGTAGCACGATATTATCTGCTTCCCCGACCACGCCCTCACGGTTTTGTTTCTGGAAATTTACACGAGAACTTCCTAGTGGGTCACCCATCATGGGATTGCTTTCGCGCGAACTCGCTTTACTTCGGAGTTCCGATGGAACCCGAAACCAGTGAGTTCTCAAAAAGCCTCGTGCTATGTAGATATGAGAATATACATATAAGGCTTACAAGATCCACTCCCCTAGGCGATGTGAAATGTTACAATCCACCCCCTTTAGGGGTTCGACGTCCTCGTCGGCACACTCCCGGGCAGGGATTGGCTCTAATACCAAATTGTCACATCCTGGCCCGGGCCCCCACCACATCACTGGCTCAACTCCACCGTAGCACGATATTGTCCGTTTTGGACCCCGATCACACCCTCACTGTTTTGTTTATGAAAACTAGACCTGGCATTCGTGTTGTGTTTTCCATGTTCGTGTCGTTTTCGTGTCATACTCGATATCTTAACGGGGTTGTGTCGTGTAACACCCGTTAAAATAAACGGGTAAAATGACCCGACCCGATAATATTAACAGGTAATATGACCCGACCCGTTACCCATTAAGGAAAATATATTTTAAACCAATAAATAATCAAATGAAAAACATAATACTAAATAAGTATATACATACCATATTGTCACATCCAAAACATAAAAACGCATTTTTCTTTTAAGTATATTTTCGCTTACCTAAAGTCTTTAATAGTTTTTTAATTAATTTTAGTGTAAAAAAATATAGAAAAAATACATAAACGCTCGTAATGACAAGTTTTACAACTTTCATGAAGAGCTTAACTTTGAAATTTGCCACTATAATCATATAAATCATATATCAAAATTTAACTGTTGATTGTTATTTACATTTACGCTTCATTGTTCTCATCAAATTTTGTTTTTTCAGATTTTCTTTTTTGAAAACTTGATCTATTAGAGGATGCAGGAAGATGAACGGTTTGGATCGTTGATATTATATTCAGAGTTTTACGGTTAGTGAAAATATTGCTTGATGTTTATAAAGTTTCTACAAACTATATGACATCGACTCATATTTCAGTTAACCATAAATATCGAAACGTGATATCAAAGATCTGAACCGTTCATCTTCTTACATCCACCAGATGATCATGTTTTCAAAAAAGAAAATTTTAAAAATGAAATTCAGTAAGAAGAATAAAGCGTAAATGGCAATCGATGGTTAAATATAAATTTAAGGTTTATGAATTATAATGTTGGATTTCGAAGTTGCCCCCTTCATGAAAGTTGTAAAGTTTGTCACTATGAGTGATTGTATATATATATTTTTTTACATTTTTTACACTTCTACAATAATTTTTATTAATTTTATTCATTTTTCCCTCAAATAAAAAACATTATTCACGAAGGTTTAGAGGATTTTAAAAATCTAAACGATAATGCAAATGTAACCATTATCTACTCGTGGAGGAATAATGATGAATCACGAGTGTTTATATATTCTTTCACATTTTTCATATGTATGTATGTCTTCTTAGTTCTTACCTATACAAATACTATATTAGTTTATTTTAATTTTGGACAACAACATGTTAAGTAAAATTTATCCTAGTAATGATAATAAGGAACTCTCATAATAAAAATAAATAATGACAAAAACTTTTTTTTAAAACTTATATAGAATAATAATACAAAACTATATATTTAATATAGAATATATTGTATATATTAATATGACTATTGTATTTTATATTAATCTTTTAGTAATTAAACTTTAAAATTATCAAAATAAATTTTTTCTTAATGGGTCGAAACGGGTTACCCACCGCGTGTATACCCGTTATTAACGGGTCACCCGATAATGACCCGATAAGTTATCGTGTTGACCCGAAACCTGTTATTTTCGTGTCGTGTCAAAAACTGCCGGGTCTAATGAAAACTGACACGAGAACTTCTCAGTGGGTCACCCATCATGGAATTGCTCTCGCGCGAACTTGCTTAACTTCGAAGTTCCGATGGAACCCGAAGCTAGGGAGTTCCCAAAAGGCTTCGTGCTAGGTAGAGATGAGAATATACATATAAGGCTTACAAGATCCACTCCCTTGGGCGATGTGGAATTACCCAAGCTTCCACCACATCCTTGGCTCGACTCCACCGTAGCACAATATTGTCCGCTTTGGGCCCAAATCACGCCCTCACGGTTTTGTTTCTGGGAACTCACACGAGAACTTCCAAGTGGGTCACCCATTATGGGATTGCTCTCTCACGAACTCGCTTAACTTCGGAGTTCCGATGGAACCCGAAGCAAGTGAGTTCCCAAAAAGCCTCGTGCTAGGTAGAGATGAGAGTATACATATAAGACTTACAGGATCCACTCCCCTAGGTGATGTGGAATGTTACAATCCACCCCCCTTAGGGGCCCGACGTTCTCGTCGGCACACTCCTAGCCAGATATTAGCTCTAATACCAAATTATCACATCTTGGGCTCGACTCCACCGTAGCACAATATTATCCATTTTGGGCCCTAATCACGTCCTCACGGTTTTGTTTCTAGGAACTCACACGAGAACTTCCCAGTGAGTCACCCATCATTGGATTACTATCGCACAAACTCGCTTAACTTCGAAGTTCCGATGGAACTCAAAGCCAGTGAGTTCCCAAAAGGCCTCGTGCTAGGTAGAGATGAGAGTATACATATAAGGCTTACAGGATCCACTTCCCTGGATAATGTGGAATGTTACAATCCACCCCCTTTAAGGGCCCGACGTCCTCGTCGGCACACTCCCAACCAGGGATTGGCTCTGATACTAAATTGTCACATCCCGAGCTCGACTCTGCCGTAGCACGATATTGTCCATTTTAGGCCCCGACCACGCCCTCACAGTTTTGTTTATGAAAACTGACATGAGAACTTCCCAATGGGTCACCCATCATAAGATTGCTCTCGCGCGAACTCCCTTAACTTCGGAGTTCTGATAGAACCCGAAACCAGTGAGTTCCCAAAAAGCCTTGTGCTAGATAGAGATGAGAATATACATATAAGGCTTACATGATCCACTCCCATGTGCGATGTGGAATGGTACAATAAAAATCTCTGTGTATCCAATTAAGAATTTTGATGGATTTTGATGGATTTTGTTGAATTTAGAAGGATTTTATAGTGTAATTAGGCTTTAGGAAGTCAAGCCTCCCCTCTTAAGATTTTGAATGAATTCCCATGGAGGAGTCTACGAAACTCCAGTAAAACTCCATCAAACTTCATAAATTTATAACCCTTTCAAAAACCGTCAAAATCGTAATTGAATACAATACCTAAGTATTTATTTTCTGTTGGTTTGAAAATCCTATCAAAATCTATTACCTTACCCTCCTTCTTTACTTGTTAATCCTTCACTCCCCGTATATATGAAGTTTACAAGGTAAATTTTAATCTGAATTTTGTTTTTTACAAATCTTGTAGCTCCAAATTATTATTATTATTATTATTATTATTATTATTATTATTATTGAGTGAGTTGTAGCTCCAATTTTTTTTTTTTAAAGAGTACGATAATAAGATACGAGGAGTACGTACAAAGGAAAGGATAAATTACATAAATTTTTTAAAGAGTACGATAATAAGATACGAGGAGTACGTATAAAGGAAAGGATAAATTACATAAATGAGTCTTGATAAAAACCTTGGCCGGATTTTATAGCTCCAAATTTTTTTTTTTAAAAAAAAAAAGAAGAAATAAAACTTTCTAGTATGTCTTTCTCAAAGAAAAAAGAAGCAAAAACTCCTACTTTGTTAACCCTCTTCAAAGTCCAAACTCCAAAGTCATATCCTTTTGTAGCTTATGGCCCATTTGGTTCACGTTAAGCTGAAGTCCAAGTCCAGTAAGCTCTCTGCTCTCATGTCGTCAGAAGAAAAAACAGAGCCACTCCAGCAGCAAAACAACACAAAGTTTCAGTCTTTTAGATTTCCCAGAAATGGATCTGCTCTGCAACGCATACTGTAATGCCTCCGACAACGAAGAAGCAGAAGCAGAAGGAATTAAAGAAACCGTCACACCCCCCAACCCGAAGCGACTCAAACCCGATAACCCGTTTGCACATACCAAATTTCACCATCCTCTACCGGAGTCAACCCAGTTTCCGACCACCCAAGCAGAAGCTCCGGTTCCTGGTCGATACATATCCAAGAGGGAGAGGGCGTTATTGGCTACCCAACCTACTGTCCCCGAACCGAACCCGAACCCGAACGCTCCTGTCACGACCTTGCCTGGTACTTTGTCAATTTCATTTGTAAATATTTGTGAATTTTATTATTATTGTGTATTTAATTTTATAGAAACATAGACTGTTAATTTGAAGAACAAGGACTTACATGAAACGTATTCGGTATTTGCATTATTGGACCAGGGCATCATGGTCGTGCTAAATCCTTTTCATATAAGTTGTTCTCTGTCAATTTGTAAGGAAAAAAAAAAAAAATCTCGTGACAAGTTCGCTGAAGTTGACAATGCCACTCATATATGCTTGTTGTTGCTGGCAGTTTTTGGGAGTATTTCGGATTCAGACGTTCGTCGAGATGTTATGTCGTTGTTGAGAAACAAAGGGAAAAAGGGTCCATCGCAGCTTGGCCAATTGCCCCAAAGAACGTCTGTAGCTCTAAATAGGCATACCAAAGCTGTCAATGCTGTGCATTGGTCACCAACTCATGGTGAGCCCTACTTTTTCATGAACTCTTGAATTATGACTTACCCTCTTCAATTCATAGCCTCATGACACTAAATTTCCGTAAAGATTGGTTCTTGGATGTTGTTTTATCGTAAATTTTGATTTTAATATATTGTTTCATTAGTTTGAGTAGAAGGGCGTTGCCAATTGTGTACTTTTATATACCAATTGTACTTATTGATCTGTTCATTGGAGTTAGTCAACAGCTCATCTTCTTGCCTCTGCTTCAATGGATCACACAATCTGCATATGGAATGTGTGGAGCAGTGATGAGAAGGTAGCCCGTGTGTTGAATTTTCACAGTGCTGCAGTCAAAGATGTGAAATGGTCACAGCAAGGATTGTCTGTTCTTTCTTGTGGATATGACTCCTCATCAAGGCTAGTAGATGTTGAAAAGGGGTTAGAGATTCAGGTTTTTAAGGAGGATCAAGTTGTCAGTGTTATTAAGTTCCATCCTGACAATTCCAACCTCTTCATATCGGGGGGCTCAAAAGGCGGAATCAGGTTGTGGGATGTTAGAAGTGGCAAGGTGGTCCATGAATATATTCGTGGTCATGATCCCATCCTTGATTTAGAATTCAGCACCAATAGCAAGCAGATTATATCCTCTAGTGATGTATCCGGACGCAACCTCAGTGAAAATTCTATTGTTGTTTGGGATGTTTCACGACAAGTTCCACTATCTAATCAGGTAAGAGACCTCTTCCAGTCTTGCTTCAATATGTGTTGCAAATGCGGTGTTCAATCTGTATATCAAAATATGGTTGCCCCTGCATATCCTGATTGTATACTGAGCTGAACTTGTATATACTGTAATTCTGCATCATCCTGTAAGAATTTACATTCATCCTGTAAACTTGTTTTGCCTTACTTTTGGTAATCTGTTTAGAATGCATGGTAAGTAAGATGTAGATATAACACAAGGCCATTTGTAATCATCTTCTTAATGATGGAAGACATGCAATACTAAAGGTGATGACTGCATCAGCTAAAATACGTGACACAATTCACGTGGAAGAAGGATGTTCCACAAGGCCATTTAGTTTGCTTTGCTGTCAAATTTGTGACACAATTATAAAAATCTCATATTTTAGAATAAATTGGTTGTATGTTTACTTCTTGGAACAGTAAGGGAGTGAATGAGAGTCATTTTGCTTATTATTGTGTTTACCTGCAATAAAATAAAAATATATCTGAATCCACAAAATCAGGAATCTTTTTTCTGATTATTCAGTTATGCATTCCTGATGGAAGACTTTGCAGTTGGAACCACCCCAGCACAAATAAACTTTTTTCTTACTCAACTCTAGTTTACTAGAGTATGGCAAGTTCTTCCACCAATTGTTCTTACAATACTACAAAATTGCCCAACTATTTTCTCTTAATTCTATAAGCACTTATGCAGTTATGCTTACAAAGAATAAAGTTTATACGAGGGTCAAAAATGCATGATATGCTACATCTTCTGAAAAGAAATGATGGAAGGTACAAAAAACATTTTGAACAGAAAAACAACTACGATAGCATTCTAATGGGAAAATAATTTTGGCATTTATGATGTTTATTATAAGTAGTTGAGAAATTGAAAAAGGGAACTATTATCGGCACTCCAAAAATCTAATTGTTCACTCCTCGTAAGAGTATTTGTCTTTCTATATATAGAAAGTTTGGAGTGCACAATTAGATTTTTGGAGTGCCAATAACAATTAGATTTGTATCTGCTTTCAAGATTGATGTGCTTTGTTTAATGCTTAGAAGGTGATAATTCTATTCTGAGGACAGAACAGAACTATTGTGTTGGAAACATATATGTTTGTATCTTGTAAATCCATCAAGTTCATTGGATAAGGAAGAATGGAGGCATTCTTATTAAAAATTTAGAGATATTGAAATCAATATAGTTTAACCTAGTTGTACAGTGGATTACTTTTTTTGGGATCGGTTTGGTTGCTTTGTAGTGCAGGGATTTGGGATCGGTTTGGTTACATCTGTTCTGAATGACTTAATTTCATTTTCATTCATTATGTTAAAGTACACTATCTTAGTCATCTCTCATGTGTACAAGTCTTCTGAGATATGGTCATGATCAAGTTCTCAAGGGTCATGTTTTGGTGACAAACTATTGAAACTAATACAGTAATCATTAACTACTTCCGAGTAAGTCCAAATTAGATTTACTGTACGTTGGCTTTTGAATGTTCCTCTGTAAAGAGAAAATGGTTTGGCGTAAGAAATTTATCGCTTTCAATTGAAAATATTTTGTTACTTAACATTGTAAATCATACAGGACCATGTATTGCAAGAGGTTTGCTAAGGTTGCTAGTTGTTAAAAAATGTATGATCAGAAGTATGATTTGTTATCATTTGAGACATTGCACATGCTACTCCTATTTTTCTTTATTTGTCGATATTTCTCTTAATGTTTATTGTATCCACAACTCCGCCTATGTAAGTTTATCTTACATTGCCGGTCCCAAGTCCGGGTAAAGGAGGAGGGGGAGGGCATCAGGTAGTCGACAGCGGGCACTCCACAGTTACGTCGAATCCTTATGAAAATGAATTCAAAATGAAATCGCGCTAAAGCTAGGGCGTCACCCGTAAGTGGCGCGCTGTGTGGCCCGAGCACAGTGATAAGTGAGCAAGGGTCGCTGTATCTCCATAGGCACCCGGATGCAGTGTTAAATGAGCAAGGGGGCCATAGAAACTTCTTTTCGAACGACTCCACTCAAAGTTGTTTGGGAGCATATGCACCTATCAACTGTACACGGGACACACAAAAGAAGTACTTTGATTCCATTGGACGGGGGAGGGTAAAGAAGCTAGGACAGAAGGGTAGAGTTCAGGAGAGTAGAATGCGTTTAGGAACGTGGAATATAGGAACCTTAACGGGAAAATCTATGGAAGTAGTGGAAGTTATTGTGAGGAAAAGGATAAATATTATGTGCCTACAAGAAACTAAGTGGGTTGGTCTTAAGGCAAAGGATCTAGAAAACTCAGGGTTTAAACTTTGGTACTCGGGCACAAATAGAACGAGAAACGGTGTTGGCATCATCGTGGACAAGACCTTGACACAAGATGTTGTAGATGTCAAGAGGGTAGGAGATATAGAATCATAGCAATCAAGATTGTAATAGGACAAGAACTTATCAATGTGATTAGTGCGTACGCACCTCAAGTAGGGTTGGATATGAGTTCGAAGGAGAAATTTTGGGAAGACCTTGGAGACTTGGTGCAAGGAATTGCTCAGACGGAGAAGTTATTTATAGGAGGAGATTTAAATGGACACGTGGCCAGGGAGACAGGCAACTATGGAGGTTTTCATGGTGGCCATGGTTTTGGGGAGAGAAATGAGGATGGGGAAGCTATCTTGGATTTTGCAATGGCATATAATCTCTTCTTAGCCAACACCTTCTTTAAGAAGAGAGAAGAACATGTGATCACCTACAAGAGTGAGTTGTCAAAAACACAAATAGATTTTCTTCTAATGAGGAAAGGGGATCGTATAACTTGTAAGGATTGCAAAGTTATACCAGGAGAGAGCGTGGCTAATCAACATCGCTTGTTGGTGATGGATGTACATATCAAAAGAGTGAGAAAAAAGAACAAGACTTGGAAGTGCCCAAGGACTAGATGGTGGAATCTAAAAGAAGAAAAACAAGTCATTTTCAAAGAGAAAGTAATCACCCAGTGTGTGTGGGATAGAGAGGGGGAAGCTAGCCAAATGTGGGATTCCATGGCTAGTTGTATCCGAAAAGTAGCAAAAGAGGTATTAGGAGAGTCCAAGGGCTTTGCCCCACACCAAAAGGAATCTTGGTGGTGGAATGAGGAGGTACAAACAAAGGTGAAGGCTAAGAAGGAATGTTGTAAAGCCTTATACAAGGATAGGACCGATGAAAATGGTGAAAGGTATAGAAAAGCGAAGCAAGAGGCGAAGAAAGCTGTGAGAGAAGCTAAGTTAGCGGCTTATGACGATATGTATAAGCGACTAGATACCAAAGAATGAGAGTTGGATATCTATAAACTAGCTAGAGCAAGGGAAAAGAAGACAAGAGACCTAAACCAAGTGAGGTGCATCAAGGATGAGGATGGAAATGTTCTTGCTACAGAGAACGCGGTTAAAGATAGATGGAGAGGTTATTTTCATAATCTTTTCAATGAAGGACATGAAAGGAGTGCTTCTTTAGGAGAGTTGAGTAACTCAGAAGAGTGTAGAAACTACTCTTTTTATCGTCGAATCCGGAAGGAAGAAGTGGTTGTAGCTTTGAAGAAGATGAAGCATAGAAAAGCAGTAGGCCCAGACGATATACCAATCGAAGTGTGGAAAGTTTTGGGAGAGACAGGTATAACATGGCTCACTGACCTTTTCAATAGGATTTTGAAAACGAAGAAGATGCCAAATGAGTGGCGAACGAGCACTTTGGTGCCTATCTACAAGAATAAGGGCGACGTACAAAATTGCATGAACTATAGGGGTATTAAGCTAATGAGTCATACAATGAAGCTCTGGGAGAGAGTCATTGAGCATAGATTGAGGCAAGAGACACGGGTTTCGGACAACCAATTCGGGTTCATGCCAGGGCGCTCAACCATGGAGGCAATCTATCTCTTACGAAGATTGATGGAAAGATATAGAGATGGGAAAAATGATTTACACATGGTCTTTATAGATTTGGAAAAAGCGTATGATAGGGTCCCAAGAGACATTCTTTGGAGGATTTTAGAGAAGAAAGGAGTACGAGTAGCATATATCCAAGCTATAAAGGATATGTATGAAGGAGCAAAGACTGTCGTAAGAACTCATGAAGGACAAACCGAAAGCTTTCCCATAACTGTAGGATTACATCAAGGCTCATCCTTAAGTCCTTACCTTTTTGCGTTGGTAATGGATGAGTTAACAGGACATATTCAAGATGATATTCCTTGGTGTATGCTTTTCGCAGACGATATAGTGTTGATAGATGAAACTCAGGAAGGGGTAAATGCAAAGCTTAACCTTTGGAGAGAAGTGTTGGAATCTAAAGGTCTTCGCCTAAGCCGATCAAAGACAGAGCATATGGAGTGCAAGTTCAGTGCAAATGGAGGCCAAAACGAATTAGGGGTGAGGATCGGAGATTAAGAAATACCAAAGAGCGATCGTTTTCGTTACCTAGGATCTATCTTGCAAAAGAACGGAGAATTAGATGGAGATCTCAACCATAGAATACAAGCTGGATGGATGAAGTGGAAGAGTGCATCCGGCGTGTTGTGTGACCGTCGTATGCCACTGAAGCTCAAGGAAAAATTTTATAGGACGGCAATAAGGTCGGCGATGCTGTATGGCACAGAATGTTGGGCGGTGAAGCATCAACACGTACACAAAATTGGTGTAGCGGAGATGAGGATGCTTCGTTGGATGTGTGGGCACACAAGAAAGGATAAAATTAGGAATGAGGATATCCGGGGTAAAGTAGGAGTAGCCGAAATTGAAGGAAAGATGAGAGAAAATCGGTTACGGTGGTTTGGACATGTGCAAAGAAGGCCTACTGACGCTCTGATTAGAAGATGCGACTATGGGACAGAGGTTCAGGGCCGAAGGGGTAGAGGAAGACCTAGGAAAACTTTGGAAGAGACTCTAAGAAAAGACTTAGAGTACTTGGATCTAACGGAGGACATGATACAGGACCGAGCACAATGGCGTTCAAAGATTCATATAGCCGATCCCATTCAGTGACTTGGATTTTCCAAGTCTCCAACCGAGAAGTTTTCCTCACTCAGGAAATTAAGGGAATACTACCTCAACCTACATGCTCCACTCACAAAGCTTCAACATACAAGCTTCAACAAAAGAAAATTCAGAGAACTTAGCGAAGAAGGCTTTGATGTATTTAACACAATACGTTGAAATGAAGGAAAGCTATGTATTTATATCCCCGATAAGTCATAAATATGTACATATACATGAGTCAAAATAAATAAACAAGAGGGAGCCTTCACAAAGGTTGCTTAGGAGAAGTCTCAGCAGTCGGTAGAGCCCCAGAAAGAGCAGGCACTGGAGGGGGATCATTTGGAGCCTCAATACTGGACAAAACCCTAGAAGGAGGAGGTAGCAGAGGTTGATCATTTGGAGCTTCATTATGCGGTACAGCCCTAGAAGACGAAGGCAATAAATGCCTTTGGAACAAACCCACAAATCTTTGATGATCAAGTAAAACCTGACCATCAGATTCCTTCATCTGGTCAAGCTTCCTCTTCATGTTTATAGTATAGTCATGTGTGAGCCGATGCAACTGTTTATTCTCATGCTTGAGCCTTTAATCTCCTGTTTGAGACTCATCACTTCAGCCGCCAATGATTCAACTTGGCGGGTTCGAGCAAATAGACGTTGGGCCATGTTAGACACAGAACCTGCACACTGAACACTGAGAGCCAGAGAATCCTTAACAGCCAACTCATCAGACCGTTTGGAAAGTAGTCTGTTATCTTTGGGAGTGAGAAGGTTCCTGGCCACTACCGCAGTGGTCATATCATTCTTCATCACGGAATCCTCAACGGTAAGAGTAGCAGTAGGGGAGACGAAGGATGGGCGCCATATGTTGTCTGGAGAAGGCGTGGCTGCCTCTTCAACAAGGTTTAAGTCAAAACGACGGTCGGAGGGGCCAGACATTTTCAAAGGTGTTGAAGAGAGAAGAGGTTGGACAAATCAAGATCTTAGAAGTACAAGAATGAAGCTTCTACTGGTGGAGATTCAAGTGTGCTTTGGAACTTAATGCCAGCCTCTATAAAAATCTGCACTCGACAGAGCTTCAGAAATCGAAGAGGCGTTTGCTTTCTCAAAAGTTGGGCTGCTCAGAGACCACGAGACGTTTGCTTTCTCAAAAGTTGGGCTGCTCAAAGACCACGAAGGCCGATCTCAGAAATCGATGAGGCGCTTGCTTTCTCAAAAGCTAGGCTGCTCAGAGACCACGAGGGCCGATCTCAGAAATCGAAGAGGCACCTACTTTTCCAGCCTTGTCAGCACCTGTCAGCTTTGCGGAAATTATGGGCATTATGTCGAAGATTTCTGGTGAAGTAGAAAGCACATGAATCTTACTGTTCAATCACCCACTTCCCACACGCAACATTAGCTAATGGGTACCACAGATAACTTTGCCAAAGTTCTCTGACAAAGTTGAGACACGTGAAGCTTGCAGCTCCCACTACACCGCTCTGACCAAGAAGGGTAAAAGAATAGCAAAGAAACAGCACTAACAAAGTTTAGACACATAAATTTTGAAGGTCTAGCTACCATATTATTACCCACAAGAGTAAAGGAACAGTACCACTGCTGGATAATTGGAAAGTCCCTGTGTGTCAACCTCTGTGCTTCGTGGCAAGATAGACTAGCAAACATGCCCAATCTTTTCTCACATTCGAGAAAACACTCCCAACAAGATTGCTTGCTCCAAAATCGAAGAGGCACCGTCTCCCGAATCTCGAGAGCCAGACTCCTAACATGATTACTTTCTCAAAAATCGAAGAGACACCGCACTTCGAATCTCGAGAGCCAGACCCCTAGCAGGATTGCTTTCTCAAAAATCGAAAAAGTATTGTTCTCCGAATCTCGAGAGCCAGATCTCCGACAGGATTGCTTGTTCGAAAACCGAAGAGGCACCACTTTCCCAACTTCAAGAGCCGGATCTCCTTGGATAAAGCTTGTCTGTAATCTTTACACGCAACATCAGCTTTCCAGATACCATAGACCACTTTTTCAAAGTGCTCTGACAGAGTTAAAACATGTGAAGCTGGCCGCTCCCACTACCGTGTTATGACCAAGCAGGGTAAAGGAATATCATTACTACTTGTTGTTAGGGAGACTCCTATATATGTTGACCTCCATCCCCAACAGACAGGCAGACCTGCAAAAATGCTCAACCCTTCCTCATATCTGATAGGGCACTCCCAAAGAAGCCTTTCGAAATATTTAGCTTTCTTTCCCCACGATAATACCTCTGCAAACAAGCTATAATAGAGCAAGAATATCTCATATCATCAGGGTTAAAAGCAAGAGTATCCCATATCATGTTTTTTCCCTGTCTTTTCCTTTGGCCTTGTTCTTACCTGCAAGACAAGGAGAAAGAGAGCAATCAGTCAGCACTTGGAATCAAGCTTCCAGTCAGGAACTGACTGCCTGGAACCCCTTACTTGATTACTTACTTGGCATTGCTCTCGAGTACTCATCTTCAACATCTTATGCTTCCAGGGAAGATACCGCATCTGCCTGAGGAACAGATAGGGCAAGTGAGAAGGATACAAGGAAGCATGTGGAGACAAGCGTAACAGCACACGTGCCGATACATCCACTACTCTGTCAAAAGAAAAAGTATCCCATATCAGCAGGGTCGAACGTACTATAGATTTGATGGACTTGTTTTGACCCTCAAATTCTTCAGTCGGCCTTATACTCTGGAGGACACCAGAAAACCCTCCAGCCCAGTTCAAGAATAAGCCTGTGGAAAGTTACTTCTTCAAAAGCAAAAGTATCACATATCATCTCTTCTCATTTTTCTTCTCTTTATCCTTCATGCTGCCTGCAAGATAGGGAGAATGTGAACAATCAGCCGGAACTCGAAATCAAATTTCTGATCTGGGATTGATTGCTTGGAGCCCTGATTGCTTACCTTGTCTGTCACCTCTTTCAGCAGATCCCCTAGCTCGGCGAATTGGAGGACTCCTACTACATGGTTTGTATCGCGCTTGACCAAGCCTGAAACTACAAGTAAGCTTCAAGTGAAATTGATACATTACCTTGTGCATCTCCACCAGTTAAAGATACCACCCATGGATGGAGGAAGAGTACTTCTAGAGAAGATGCCACATCTACCTACTAGACAGATAAGGCAAGTCAAGACGATACCACACTCCGGAACTTAGAAGTTTCGTGATTACGAGATCATTCTCCCACAATATTTCCTAATGTCATTTGTACTAAATCATTCACTTGTACTCACTAAAAGAGAGCTTGAACCTATGTACTTGTGTAAACCCTTCACAATTAATGAGAACTCCTCTATTTCGTGGACGTAGCCAATATGGGTGAACCACGTACATCTGGTGTTTGCTTTTCTATCTCTATCCATTTATATACTTATCCACACTAATGACCGGAGCAATCTAGCGAAGATCACAAAAAGCGATCGTTTTCGTTACCTAGGATCTATCTTGCAAGAGAACGGAGAATTAGATGGAGATCTCAACCATAGAATACAAGCTGGATGGATGAAGTGTAAGAGTGCATCCGGCGTGTTGTGTGACAGTCGTAGGTCACTGAAGCTCAAGGGAAAATTTTATAGGACGGCAATAAGGCCAGCGATGTTGTATGGCACAGAATGTTGGGCGGTGAAGCATCAACACGTACACAAAATGGGTGTAGCGGAGATAAAGATGCTTCGTGGGATGTGTGGGCACACGAGAAAGGATAAGATTGTGAATGAGGATATCCGAGGTAAAGTAGGAGTAGCCGAAGTTGAAGGAAAGATGAGAGAAAATCGGTTACGGTGGTTTGAACATGTGCAAAGAAGGCCTACTGACGCTCCGGTTCGAAGATGTGACTACGGAACAGAGGTTCGGGGCCGAAGGGGTAGAGGAAGACCTAGGAAAACTTTGGAAGAGACCCTAAGAAAAGACTTAGAGTACTTGGATCTAATGGAGGACATGACACAAAACCGAGCGCAATGGCGTTCTAGGATTCATATAGCCGACCCCACTTAGTGGGAAAAAGGCTTTGTTGTTGTTGTTGTTTATTGTATCCACATTTGTGATCATTTATGCATTTTCTGCCACCTTACATCACTATCAATCTTGTTTAACCATTTATTTTCTCGTAATAATCACATTGCTTCATTCATGTTCCATTCTGTAATTATGTTAAACTGATATTTCTATGTATCAGGTTTATGTGGAAGCCTTTACCTGTCCCTGTGTGAGATCCCACCCATTTGAACCATTTTTTGTTGCCCAGTCAAATGGTAATTATATTGCAATCTTCTCTTTAAGTCCCCCCTTCAAGCTGAACAAGTACAAGAGGTACGAAAGCCATGGAGTATCTGGGTTCCCCATTAAATGTGTATTTAGCTTGGATGGGGAAAAGCTAGTCTCGGGTTCCTCCGATGGTTCTTTATACTTTTATGACTACAGGTCTTCTGAGCTTGTTAGAAAAATCAAGGCGTATGAGCAGGCCTGCATAGACGTTGCTATCCACCCCGTCATGCCGAATGTGATTGCTTCGTGCAGTTGGAACGGAGAGGTTTCAGTGTTCGAGTGAGTTTCTCGTGTAAAATTTTCATACAAGAAATGTAGTGTTTGAGTGAGATTTCACTGCCCCGACAGTGTTTGGTTGTTTTAAGAGAAGGATCGAGTACGTTGAAAGCAATTTCTTGCATTTGTTACAAGAGAAACAGATGTAAATGAAACAAAAATGAAGGTTTAATTAGAAATTTCCTTTGTTTTTTTAGCGTTTGTTTGCTTATTGACCAGTAACAACTAACTTGTTTTAGCGCTGGTTGGGAAGTGTTATTTAAATGCCTAGAAACGCTTTTGGTTTGACACTAATCCTTAGTTAAAATGCAAGTGAATCTTTAAAATACTTAGTTATGTGCTTTCAGCTAAAAGCACATAACTAGTGCTTCTTGTAGGAAACACTTCAAGTGTTTTTGGAACCCAAAAATATTTTCTCTAAAAGCCTAGAATCGCTTTTGGTGAAAATGTTTTCTAAACTAATTCCTAGTTAAAATGCAAGTGAATCCTTAAAAACAACTTAAAAGTGTTTTTTGCAAAAGTCCATAACTAGTGCTTCTTGTAGGAAACACTTTAAATGCTTTTAGAACCTAAAAATATTTTATCTAAAAACGTTTTCAATCATTCTAAGAGTACTTCTAAATGAGTCCTTAGTTATTGGATTCTTCTTACTTCAGGGGATTGTGGAATTATATTAGAGAACTTTAACGAAAAGCTCCTGATACTGTTCATTTTAACGAAAAATCACATTTTTACACTAAAAATTTAATCATGGTACTATTTATTTTACTTTTTATTTTATCCTTATCGTTTAAACTCAAAGTTTTCAAACCCTTTTCATTTTCCTATTATATTACCTTATCGTTTAAAATCAAAGTTTTTAAACTCTTTTCATTTTCCTATTATATTATCCTCTAATAGATATTTTCTCCTAAAACTTTAGCTTTAAAGAGGTCATGTCACAATGGATATTTCACATCATACGTAACGTTTGATAATATGTGTTTGGGGCTTCGCAAAATTCTGCTTTAAAAAAACAATTAAATAAAAACTTTTAGGATATGATTTGTGGAAGTCCTAAAGTTTTTATCTTGCCGACTTGACACCCAACAGTTAACGTTGTTTATTTGTTTTTATTATTATTATTATTATTATTATTATTATTAAGGAGGAGGAGAATTTAAAACTATTACAATTATTTAAGATGAATTGGAGTTTTTTCAGAACGTATGAGTGAAGACTCGATATCCTATCCACTAAGATATTGATTTGGTTAGTGCTCAGTAGCAATTGTGCAGGGTGAAATGACTGGCAATGCAATTTAACGAATATTAGGAGATAGGGAAATCGACACTGAAACTTAGGGAAGGGACGAATGAAAACCTAAGTTAACCACTGAGCTGCAAATCGCTTTTAAGAGTCGGTGGTGTAGTTGTCCCTGAGCTATTGCTCTAGGGTTTTGGGGTTTCATGCCTCTTGTTTTCGAGTTCTTAGGTTTTTATTTTCTTGGTTCATACATACTACCTGATTCTCAACCCTAATCTCATCGTTCCTACATTCATCTTTTCACCATCTCCTCTATTAGTTTCTCATCTTCCCTTTACCCCAAATCCCATTTGGGATTTTAGGGTGTTTCCAATTTGAGTGAGTTTTCGTATTTATCATGGTTGATTTGGGTTCTATGTTTTTCATGTTTTAGTTTGACTTGGTTGGTGCCTCTTGCTCTAGTCCTATTCATTTCCAAGTTCTTGTCATTGCTACTATACGATCCTGGTTGATTTCCTCGTAGTGGTTGACAGTGAAGGTAAAGTGAAGGTGACGCTTATAGTGACGACGTTTTTAGTTTTGTTGATCTAGGGTTTGTTTATGGTTGTTGCATTTGGTCTTCCCTTTCTCTTTGAGGCTTTGAGCTGCTATTGTTTATGGGCTTGAGTTTAAAGTTTTTTTTTTTTTTTTTTTTTTTTGTCAACATTGAGTTTAAGGCTTTTAATACATGTTGTTCCCCTTTGGAAAAGGGGCTCTTGAAATGTATATGCCAACATTGCCAAGAGCATGTAATGGAGTATTATCTAAGATGAAAGGTAAACGTACTTGTTGAAAATTGTAAGCCTTTAATTGATTAGAGGCAAGGGACTTGATGAATGTGTTGAAAATTTAAGTACTAAACAAACAATAAAAAAAGCCATATAATAAAGATTTTTTTTTTGCTTGACCTAGGATCAATATGGGAAGGATTTGAAACAAATAAATGAAGGTGTTGAAGGAAGTTCATATACGTAGCTGTTAGGTATGGGGCAATCTGGCAGTGTGGAGCAGTTGATAGCAATACTGTGCAGGTGCTTCTAACTTAGGCAGACCTACCATGATGAAACAGAAAAATGATTCACTTAAGAGGGGAGGTGTGGGGGCATACTCAAAACTATGCTTTTGTTCATCATCCACTTCCCTTTCCATCAAAGAGGAGAGAAGAGAAGGGAGGGAGGTGAGTGAGTGGGGGGGCCAAAAAAAGGATGCTAAAACAAGACACAATTATGCAATTCCCTTTCCAATTGTTCATGGGGGTCAATTGTAGGGGGGACATGACACACCACTTCTCTCCTTTTTAGATGCATTTGCTAATGGGACCAAACTCCCCCTCCCCCTCCCCCTCTAAACCCCAACCAACCCCCACCCCCCACCTCCACCCTTCTCTCTCTCCCCCCCCCCCCACCTATCTTTCAAATACCACCTCAATCACAAAACACACCCCTCTCTCTCTCTCTCTCCCCCCCCCCCCCCCAACCTATCTTTCAAATACCACCTCAATCACAAAACACACACAAAGCACAAACCCACAAAAAACAAGTCAAAAACCAACAATTTTTCTCTAATCCAATTATTAAATATATATACACACACACACACACACACACACATATAAAAGCATGCTTGTAACTCCATTTTTTCAATAGCACTATCTAGACACACTTTCAGTTCTTGAAAACATTGATGGTCCACATACAAAACTGTTTGTATTGGAAAATATGGCAGCAAACCCTAATCCCATTTAAAGCAAAGGAACACAGTCATGCATACCTACTGGCCTATATCCACATTATATATAATATTTTAATATTTATATGTGTGTGTGCGTGTGTGTGTATATATATATATATATATTTCAACCTTCATATGAATATGCTCCCCACCTTGCCTGGTCTCAAGCTGCAATCTTATTAAATCCATCTCTTTAATTGTCACACCATTAAAATTCAGAATCAAATGAGAAAAGCTAGCTAGCTATAGCTATTGCTAAAAAGTAAGAAACCAAATCAAAGAAAGAAAGAAAGAAACTGAAACGGTAAGCTCGAGTATTCTTCCTACTACTCCATATGACTTCATCATCAACTAAAAAGATAAAAAGAGATATACTTCCTTTACAGGAAAAAAAAATATTATATTCATAAATAATATCCATATATGTGTGTGTACTTGTGGTCAAGCGGGTATTCGCTTCATAAGGGCTCCACCAGCTTGCCATTCGAGCGACATGAAACGATGGGCTGAAAGGTTTTACCTAAGTCAAGCCAATTCATCTTTCGGAGGATTGGACATGAACTCCACGGTCCTAATCAATTTAATGATGTTTTTGCTTTTGATTAGGGAACCAAAAACAATATTATAAGGAATCTAACCTCATGCTTAACGATGCACAATCGTTGCTTTGGAATCACAAACCCTAGATAGCTCTCTCTCTCTCTCTCGTCTTTAGTCTCCTTCATTATCTTTCCGCCATAGTTTTTTATGTATATATTTGTGATCCAGCTTATCATGTCTTCTGTTTTTTCTTTTCAACTTTAGTTAGATGTTTATCTTCTCCTACATGCTAGGCCATAATCAAAATGTTTTTTGTTAGATACAAAGTGTTAAATATCACCAATCCCTCATCCAATCCTGGCCTTGTAAAGTAGCCGACAGACTCATATTTATTGACATCACCATGTGATTTGTGGCCTCAACCAAGTCATCCCATTTGGTTGGTTATTCTTTAATTTTGTTTTCCCCTCTACTCTCAAATGGATCAAGAATTGTAAGATATTTGAAAAAAAAAAAAAAACAACCAATCATGATTTTGTTAAATGACTTGTTCTTCCCAATTAGGATTAGGAAGTATTCCTTTATTAAAATGATTAAGTTTCCTTGTTCATGTCGTAGACTGCTCCACAGAGACATGACAGACATGATTGCAATCTATTTAATGTAAACCTAAAATTAATTAAGAAAGAATTAATCATATTTTCCAATGGCAATGATATCCCATAAAGCTTAAGCTTAAGATTATGTCACCGGTTGACGCCAAGGTCCTAGAAAGCTGAGTCCAGCTAGAATCCAGTTTAATTGGATATCAACTATTTAAGCATTTTTCATTTCAGCTTTTCAAAAGATTTGCTGTTTCCTTATCAACGCAGTAGTTGAATTATTGAATAGTAACACTGTTCATGCATAGATTGCATGAAATTATAGTCAACTAAGATATCAGCTTAATTAGTGATAGCTAGCTAGGTGCACTGTTTAGTGTTTGCCTTATCTTAACGTAAGGATTGCTAGCTGGCCTGGAAAATTAATAAAAAACACTAGACAATGTGACATTATATCAATTATCGACAGAATTACGGGGTTAATAACTTAATACTAGAAACTATACATTTTGGTGGACACTAACAGTAGTGCCCCCTCTCCTGATTTTTGTCGTCAATGATATGGAAAATGAAAATAAAAAACACAAACTAAGTGAGGAAACAATCAAATCATATCAAGCACATGCTCAAACAGAGGAGAAATGGACGAGAAATGTTATTTCTAGATTATTTGTCAACGTAAGATTATCATGTTCTTAAATTGAATCTGAATTATTGATCAAGTTAATGTTGAATGCAAATCTAGTTAGTCTATATTCTCAATCATGCAACATGAAGCATGTCATATATAAATGCCGGACAATCTATTATGAGAGACACTACTCTACAATGGACATATACGAAAGTTTACATTATAGACACAATGTGCTTTACTATATATAGGGCAAATCTTTGATGAGGCAAATATGATGGAAGTGATACAATCTTTGATTCTGAGATCAGTTTCATATTTACTTTTTTTTTTTTATCAAAATATTTACTTTATATATCTTTCCTAGCTAGTCACTGATCAATTATCATGAAGGAGGATGCATGCAGT